GAAACACTTCCTTGTGCAATAAACTCCCAAATGGAGGGCATGCCAATGTGTGTAAGGGTCTATTTTTAGCACAATAAGCTACATTTGAATAAGTTGTATATATGTGTGTGTGTTTACCGGCAGCTGTGGTGGTTAAGTGTCTTCCCTCTCTTTGTACAGCTCACCTCCCTCAAACTGCACCTGCATTCACAAGAGGGAGGCTGTGATGTCATCCTGCGGGTGGGACACGGTGGACACGCCTCTCTGGCAGGTGGTGGAGGGGCGGAGCTAGGCGGTAGAGTGGGAGGGGGAGGAGGAGGGGGTGTAGTTGGCACAAGAGTCCTGTTGGCACAAGAAGAGAAAAAAATCAGCTGTTGGTGTGAAATAAAGAGTCATGCGACCTTCATATATATGCCTTAAAGGAACAGTTGGACCAAATATAAACATTTTGTTGTTATTTATTTTACATTAAAAAGTTACAAAAGCTTTCAAAAGGCATGAATATGTACTAAAAGGTACTAATATGCATCTTTTAGGAGTAAATACGGTACAAAGGTGAACGTTTTGAAAAGGTACCACCCCAGTGACATCTTTTGCACCTTTTTTCTGAGAGTGCAGTATGAGAATAAGTAAATTATGACACAATGTCATTTTTGGCAAACTATTCTTTGATTTCAGTTTCAAGTTGTGAAAACTGTAAAGAGGTCCTAAAGTCAGGAGGAATTTTAAAATAGTAAGAAAAGACTCCAAGTAATTGAGTAGCACAATTCTGATTATAATACTGGTTCTGGCAAATCCGGCTCCAAGAGAATTATGTAAAACCGCTACAATGGACAAAGAGCACGTCAGTTCTTGCAATCATTAACTTTGCAAAACCAGACCCAAGCCTGCATCTCCACATTAGGCTTGAAATTAAATTCAGTAGCAAGCACAAAAAGCCTCATAATGCATTCTGATCATGCACAGCCCTGATCTTCTTTTTGGACGGCACCACAGATATACTCTGGATAGTGTCTGTGGCCTTCAGTTCTTTGATGTCTCATTTGTGACATCTCTGATGGGATGGTGGGCTGATGGGGCTGTTTTTTTCCCTCTTCCCTTTTTTAACTAAACCAAAACTGGAGAGCAGTGTATGGGTGAGAGTTAATTAAGGAAGAAAATCAATCTTTGTGTGGAAGTGGTTTGAGAGGCTGAAAAGGGAGGGGCGTTCTGGCTGCCAAATTAGCCTGATTTCACACTTGCCACTGACTCCATCCATGGAGGAGTAGATGATGGATAGCAGGGAGGGAAAGGCGGTCCAAAGCGCCCTCCACTTGCCCTCATCAAAAACCAATGACGAAAAAGCAAAAGTAGAAAAGGAAGGAGAGGAACTGTTCAATTCTTTCCCTGACCAGAATTAATTAATTGTTGTCTGAGTAGAAGTCAATGTTGCATGCGTAAACGTGCAATACGGCACGTATGAAAAAGAGAAAATCTTCAGCTCTCATTGCCCAGAAACTCATCTATGGGAGTCATGTACATTGTTGCTTCGAAATAGATTTTAATATTTAATAATATTGATGGTACTAAATAAATAAAGGCAAAACAAAGATTCATTATTAAGCATATTGCTAAACTGCTTCTATTAAATGTCTATCATTTGTAATTTCTACGATGACAAAAAGGTACCAAAATGTACCATGGTATTCTTTGAAGTAATTTAAAGTGGAAATATAAATACCATGGTAAATGAATATGGCATTCCATACTGAAGTAGATCTTAAAATTCAGGGGGAAAAAAAAAACATTTCATTAATCAGTATTTTTTTCTTGTTTTCCAGTACAAATATGTAAACAGTTATTGAAAATAAGATTAATCTGAGAAGTAAAATTGAGTACAATATCAATATCATCTCTTTTTTTTCTTGTTTTAAGCATAACCTCACATGTCCTAAGATTTTATAAAATTTTGCTTCTCAAGTACATTTATCTTGTTTTAAGAACATTTGACTTGAAATTAAAAATAAAATGTAAAAATTTTAATTTTAATTAAAAATATAATTTTTATGTAACATGGTAGTATTTTTTGTAATAGGAAATGATGAACTTACGGCTTTTTCCCCATGTGTTTCTTTCGCTTTGGTTTCCCCCTTTGCCACTTTTGACCTTTTCTTGTTGTCTGTGGGCCTTGCCTTAAAAATACAAAATATAATAAATATAAAAAATAAATAGATCAATAATGTACAATATGATCATGACTCAGCCAAAACGTGTTTTCACAAACATCTTATGTCAACATAAAAAGTATTAAACTGTATTTCACAATTTTAATTCAGAGATTTAATTTGGAGAGTCTTGAGATGACTTTATCAAGTCTTAATTCTTGTGACTTTTAAGCCCTGGTCTCGGTGAGGCTCCTCAGGGGCCAGTGGCCTAATTAAGCAATAGAATGAATGTTCTGTTCCGTTTCCCAACAAAGGAGGGTTCTAGGTTCTGACTCCCTTCCAACAGTGCAAGACGCACGCCAGCTGGACACACACACACACACACACACACACACACACACACACACACACACACACATACACACCAAAGCAACTGATTAAGTCTTTTAGAAGTCAGAGATCTTTTGCAAATTACAAATGCAGTGTTTTATTCCCTCTACAGACAGTCTTATAAGATCATTACAAACCACATGTGCGACATGTAGAATGTACGATGATGACACATACTGAATCGTAAGCTATGATGCAAGTTAATATAAAAGTATCAAACTTTTAGGAGCCACAATGAAAGAAATTGCCATGATTGTTTCATGTTGGTTGTTTTTTGTCTGGGACAGCCCAAAATCATACAATGTATCCTGGGCATTACTAAGGTATCTTTGTCTACATAAACATATTCTACTGGCATGAACTCACTGGAAATTTAAACAACTTCTTTATTTTATCCCATGCCAATCTTACTCTGAGTCTATATTTTGTACTATGCCAATCATTTTTTTCTTTCTTTATTTTTTCTCTTTCTTTTATTCTTTTTCAAACAAACTTTTCCAAGAAATGTAAGTTGTACTGAAAAAAAATCCACATTAAATGAACAGACTGGCTGTCCATTTGGCAATAAAAGGGGAGAATTACTTGTAAAAACTGATTTCACAGCAAAGAGAAGTGTGAACATGAGGACCAATGCCAAGTTCACACACTACATCCTACTTAAATAAATGTTTTATTAATTACCGCCTGCTCTCATCACAGTTCTAATGCCACTATTGGTTATAATTAGCATATATTATTGTCAGCATACACACTTGAATGTGGCTCAATCTTGAAATGAAATGGTCAAAAATAGTGGTGTAAAAGTATCATTAGTTGTTTGAAAAATCTAAATATAAAATGTCATCCCACACGGTTTGTGCAACAGACATGAATGATGCCTCAAATCGTGTGGCTCCCTGAGGAGTGTGCAATTACTTTTCTAAGCAGTAAGATTTGTGTTTTTTGTGTAGAGTGTCTTGGACAGGACTGTGAAAAAGATATTTGGAAAAAGCAGTAGCTGTTCTCTTTAACATTAGGGTCAGCGTAAACTAGTATCAGAGCAGAACAGACTGAACCACTTATGCCTTTCACACACAATTAACTCACCATGCATCCATCTCCATGGAGTTGTGTGTGTGTGTGTGTGTGTGTGTGTGTGTGTGTGTACTTTTTTATGCTACACTGTGGGGACCAAATGTCCCCACAAGGATAGTAAAACCTACAATTTTTGACATTTCGAGGGAAAAAAATGATTAAAAATAGTAAATTATGTTTATCTGAAAGTGTAACAATGCAAACAGGTTTTCTGTAAGGGGTAGGTTTAGGGTTAGGTTAGGGGATAGAAAATATCGTTTGGTCAGTTTAAAACAATAGAAGTCTATGGAAAGTCCCCACAATTCACAGAAACAAACGTGTGTGTGTGTATGAGTATGTTTGCAGTGGGGCAAAGGAAAAAGAGGGCAAATGGTGCTCATACTGCTGGTGAACCTTCACATCTCTCTCTCTCGCACAAACAAACACAAATAAACAATTTACCTGGTTGGCTCTGCATAAAGATTTGCTTTTAGCCTGTAGGGAAAAGACAAGACAGTAAAAACAAAATGATAATGAAATTTACAATTAAAAGAAAGATCAAATATTATCACAGCATACACACAGGGATATTTAAATTTTTATTATTTTATTATTGTTATTATTTATATATTATTATTGCTCATATTTGATCATTTTAAATAAACCCCTAACAATAAGTATTAAACTCTGGGGGCTTAACTTTTTCTGTGCTGCTAAAAAAAGCGAGCATCAATTATTTCCACTCTTGAGTGCAAGTGGTGCAACGCAAAGCAACAAAACTACATGCATACATTAATCAATTTATTTTAAGCACTTACAATGAGAATAAAATCTAGTTTTGTTGTGCTGCAAATGAGGTATAAAATCACATTGAATTGGGTGAGTAATAAGATTATTTTACAAAAGGTTTTGCAATTTATCAAGTCTTATTATTAATGAACAATTGTGAAGCAAAACATCTGGATGTTAATACAGTCATCACTGATTGGTGCACAAAAATGCTGCTTGTTATACATTCAAAGTAGTGCCTTCTATTAACTGTAGCAACACAAATTTGTAATAATAATATCCAAAACTTGACAGTGCAAAACCGACAACCTAACTCAAAATGGACTGATTTCTAAACTTTCCAAATGTTCTTTGCTTTTAGTGATTCTATCGATTTTTCAAGAGAAGTTAAAGTAATCATTCACCCAAAAAATTTAAATTAGCTGAAAATTTTCTCACCCTCAGGCCATCCAAGATGTAGATGTGTTTGTTTCTTCATTGTACCAGATTTGGAGAAATTTAGCATTTGATTTAGCACTTGTTCACCAATACATCCTCTGCAGTGAATGGGTGCCGTCACAATGAAAGTCATAAGTTATAAACACAGCTTTTCATTTCACAAGATGATAACTGATGGACTGGAGTGGTGTGGATTACTTGTGGATTATTGTGATGTCTTTATCAGCTGTTTGGACTCTCATACTGATGGCACCCATGTGGACTCATTGGTGAGCAAGTGATCAGATGTAATGCCAAATTCCTCCAAATCTGTTGCGAGGCAGAAACAAATTCATCTACATCTCGGTTGACCTGAGCATAAGTACATTTTCAACTAATTTTCATCTTCGGGTGAACTACTCCTTTAAGATATGACTTGGGCCAGTAAGCAACCACCCAGAACATCCTGGCTTCCATCCAAAACACTTAAGCAACCACATAACACCAACAACAACATCTAAATGAGGATTTATTACTCTGCATACTTCTGCATGAGATAATGTAGATCAGAATTGTGTTAATGTTAGTAGTACTTGATTGTGCATGTTAAAAAGGCCCACCGTAAATGCACTTTTATTTTGAAGTGTTCTGGCGATCAGCCAGTGTTTGATTGCGCTGTCAACTCTCAACTTCAAGCAGAGGTGAAACAACTGTTAAGTTGGCAAAATCAACAGTCACAACCTCCTCAGGCATTTTCTACCCTTCCTGTACGTTGCCAGTCCAAAGCAGACCACCCTAAACCAGTTCCAGCCCCAAGAAAGCCAAGAGCAACTGAACCTGTAGCAAATCCAAACTATGCCCAAGCCTCTCATGATGCATCACAAGATAGTAGTTCAGCAGAAAGTGTGGAGAGCACTGAGTATTCAAGCAGTCAAGAAAGTTTGTCCTCTTCTGTGGATGGCATGAGAAACCTGTCCCTGAACTCGTCCAGGCAAAAGAAAGTTAATACCAGTCCAACAATTGATAGAAGATTTTGTCAGAGAAAAGATGGAAGAAATCAAGCCAAGATGGTGAGAAGTTATGTTCGATCTCCCTCTCCACAATATTCTTCCAGACCACGGCACAGCTTGTCTTCTAGGAGTAAGAGACGGCACCACAACTCTCCAAGTCAACCTACTGACCAGGAAAGAGTATATTGTGGCCCTACTCCTACAATTCCTGACCTGATTCACCTAAACCCCAGAGAGTTTGCACGGCTTAAGATTGCTTTAGAAAACATTCTTCCAACTGATGCTATAGAACACTTTAAATTTCATATCCTGCTAGAATATCTCAAGCTTGAAGAGGCTCAGTTAATTGCTGAATCTTACAGCAGTTCACATCATCCTTATACCAACACTATGGATGCCCTCAATCAACAGTATGGCCAGCCACATCAGTTAGCATTGCAGCGCATAGTGGAATTGATGGATGGGGCCAGCATCAGCACTGGAGATATTAAAACTTTTCGATTGTATGCTCTGAGGGTGAGATCTTTGGTGGGAATGCTGAGACAACTAGGTAAGCCTGGCATGGTGGAATTAAGATGTGGCTTGCAATGTGTCCAGACTTCTGAGTAACTTGCCACATGATCTGCGCAGCAGTTTCAGAAGATTTATTTATCCATTAGACGTGAAGATTACTACCCTCCTTAACTTCGCAGACTAGTTAGAATATGAAATCCAAGTTTAAGAAGATTCCACAAGGTATGCAAGCTGTTCGGGCAGAGAATACTCAACCAGTTTGTCGAGGGATATGTCAAGGAAAGTGAAATTCCACAAAGGGACAGAAGTTCTGTTTGGCACTGAGAAATCCCCTTCATCACCTCCATCACATCTATCACCGGTCTCAGCTAAGACCATAAAAGGGAAAGCTTACTGCCCTTATTGTGATAACACCAAACACACTTTAAATAACTGTGTAAATTTCTCTCAACTTTCCAAATCTCAGAGGCACAATTGGATCAAGGGGCACAACCGATGCTGGCGCTGTGGACTGGGCCATAGATCATCAGAGTGTAACCATAAAATGCACTGCAAAACATGCAATGGTCATCACTTGCTTGCTCTTCATGAAGTTAATGCATGGAACAAGGAGAAAGCAGTGGAAGGAGAGGATCCCTGTGCTAGCCCTGTCATGGGGGAGGCCACCAACGATGTGTTATTCATTGACAAGCCCCCAGGAAGTCGTAAGGTACTGTTAAAGATATGTAAAGTCATTCTAAGAAATGGAGATAGATCCATGAATGCTTATGCCATTCTTGACGATGGCTCAGAAAGAACCATCTTGTTGAATGCTGCAGCAAACCAGCTGAAACTGAAAGGTAAGCCAGAGGACTTGCCCCTGCGCACAAGACAAGAGTTAAAGGTCCTGCATGGGGCGGCTGCTTCCTTTAACCTTTCACCAGCCTGCCAGCCAAACAAGATATATCGGATCAAAAGAGATTGAAACTGCTCATCCAGTTTTGCTCATTGGTTCCGATTGCCCTCATTTAGTTACCCCCATTGAGCCAGTTCGCTTGGGCCCACCAGGTGGTCCTGCTGCAATTAGAACTCGTCTGGGATGGACTTTGCAAGGACCAGTTCAAGCTGTTCAACATGGCTCCAGAGAGCAACAGGGCCTGCTCACCACAAGTTGTGAACGCTGTGAACAGCACTATGTGGATTCAGAAAGTAATCCTGCCAATGACATCACTCGAGGTAAAAGGCTAGCAGAACCAGGGCCACAAAGTTGTTGGAATACAGGGCCATCATTCATTCAGCTTCCATCTAATCAGTGGCCGGTTAACCCGCCATCCTGTCCGGTAGCTGGTGATGGACTAAGAAACTATACATTCTGTGGTCTGACTAATACTGCACATTTGTCTATACCTGATCCAAGCAAATGTCTGACCTTTCAAGAGTTATTGGCTGTCACTGCAGAATCTCTCAGGGAACATGGGTATCATCTGAAGTTTTTCAACAGGCTGAGATAGCTATCCTTCAGCAAGCTCAATGGGGAAGTTTTCCTTCTGAAATGACACAGCTTACAGCTGGAAAATAACTGAATACTAACAATCGACTTCCTAACCTCACCCCCGAACTTGAACCGGCAAGTCAGCTCTTAAGGATAGGAGGTCATCTTCACCGCTGTGAAGAGACTGAGCCGGAGTCGATGCATCCTCTTGTCCTTGATCCCCAGCATCCAGTCACTACCTTTCTCATTAAAGGGTTAGTTCACCCAAAAATGAAAATTAGCCCACAAATTACTCACCCTCAAGTCATCCTAGGTGTATATGACTTTCTTCTTTCAGACGAATCCAGTCGGAGTTATATTAAAAATTGTCTTTGATCTTCCAAGCTGTTTAATGGCACTCAGCGGGTGTTGCAGTGCATCAGTCCAAAAGAAGTTAAATAAAAAGCGCCCCTCCTTAATAAAAAGTGTCTCATACAGCTCCGGGGGGTGAACAAAGTCCTCCTGTAGCGAATTGATGCGTTTTTGTAAAAAAGAAAAAAACATATTTAAAATGTAATAATCAATTTAATCTAGCTTGCGCTCACTGTTGTAAACGGAAACAGCTCCGGGCGGATGACGTAAGATGACGGTGTTGCGCATGCGCCGCTCAGAAGTGACGAACGCGGAAGCGCAGGGGAGAGATCAAAACAA